AATATCACATCTACATTAAGCATAAAAAAGTTAGCCCACATCGAGCATAGAACACCATAAAAAAGTATGTAAAAATAAATCAAATAAACCTTCCAATCAAAGACATAATTGCATAAAAAATCCAATTGTAAAATTGAAAATCATGGTAAATTGAAGAAATCACACAAAAATTTAAAACCATGTGTAAATGATTCCTCCTCTAAAATCCCTTAAGACCAAATCCCCTTATATTCTTACTAATTCTAATGTGTTACTAGTACCTATGATTCATTCTCAAAACATCTCTTCAATAACCACAACCACAATTGCAAACACAAACTCCTAATTATGCGTCCGTAATGTGTGTATGAAATGAACACAATCCAAAATGTTAGCCCAACATATATAGGTTTAACCATGATCTTCCGTAATTAACTATGTCAATCCATAATGTATGACTACACGTTTTGGAATCCAAACTCTACCAACCCCGCCAACTCCAGAATGAACATCACTACTTCATTCAGAATGACCTAATTCTGAAGAGAATAATCATATTTTCAAATTTGAAATAAGTTGATTATTTTTATTAAATCATTCATTTATAATGGTTAGTACTCAATTTGACAAAAATATAATAATATGAGGGCTTAATAGTCATATTGAGCATAATATTAGATGCCCCTCATAAAAAAAGTCTCAGCGACAGCAACCAAAATAAACAGCTCTTTGCTTTTAACAATGGTACACGAAGAAGGCGGAACCCGCGCACCACGGCCTCCCTCATCGGCGGTTGCTCCTCCATCAACGAAGCGTTACCGCGAGGAGGAGTTTGAGGGATCGTTAAATTGCGCGGAATTGCAGCCAATAAAGCGTCGGGCAGTGTTAGGGCAGGATATTTTGTTCAGGATATTGTTGCCATCGAAACAGATTGGGAAGGTAATTGGTAGAGGAGGACACCGTATTCAGAAAATCCGAGAGGAAACTAAGGCCACTATCAAGATCGCAGACGCCATCGCGGTTAGTTAAATTGCTGCATATGCCCATATGTTGTGCTGTGTAATGTATATGCACATACTTAATCTGAAATTAGTCAACTTCCTCGTGAATTAAGTTATCTATGGGATATGTTTAGGTTATAATTTGGGTAGAACCACTAAAAGGTGGATAGGTTGTGTATACTTATTTATCTATATTTGGTGTTAAGATTAGTGTCTAAAAAAGTTGTTTAGCTTTAAATTTGAAGTGTTTAAAAAATAAAACTACAGAACTATATGAACAACATAAACTATTCAATGGAGAACTAATGTATTATGTATAAAACAACTATGTATTTGGGGGAATACTACTTGAGAACAGAGATAAAAAGCACACATGATGTATGATGAAGTAATAATCGGTCTATATTCTTAAGACTAGTTGAACAACAAGTATTATAGAGTGGATGTGGAGATGTGATCGTTTAGCTTTAAGTTTGCATTCTGCAGATAACTATGTTTATTGCTTATAGAATGTGGTTTTAATCTTTATGCTAGAAGGCCATGAGTCATTTACACAAGTTAGAATCTTGTGTTAAAGGGAAACCAAAGTTTGGCTATCTTATTAGGAAGATAGATATTTGCTTTTTGACAGAATATTACCTCCAGAGATACTTCTTCACATTTGGTTTATATCATGCCTACATATGTTTATATTATTTATTATTTTTTTCATAAATTACAGAGACACGAGGAGCGTGTTATCATCATAAGCTCTAAAGACAATGAAGATGCTTTTACCGATGCAGAAAATGCTCTCCACAAAATTGGCAGTTTGGTTCTCATGGTGATGTGATATTTAATCTTGAGTTTTAAAGCTTTATTCAACGTTTGCTTTGTAAATAGTATAAGTAATATAATACCTTTTTGTTAGTACCTTTATTTAATCAAAACCTAGCATTTGTCATCTATTGAGAAACCAGTTAATTTCTGGTGAGAGTTTGATTCTTTATTAAGTTTGATGTCAGAATATGTGCAAATATACGATGCACAAATTCCATTTATCTATGAATATCTGTGAATCAATGGGTCATTACTATAGGGAAATCCTTTTCTTTTATTAGTACATTTTGTCTTTTTTACCATCTAATAAATACTTTCTTAATATTGGCCCTTTTTGATAGAACAGATGTAGATCAGAGAAAACTTGGTGGGATTATAGCCAAATTGGAGGTCAAAGGTAAAAATAACAGTTCCTTTCCTCCTTCCATTCCCCTCCTCCCTTCTCAAATCCCCATCCTACCCCTTCCCTCCCCCTCCTTCCCATCCCTTCCCTTTTATCCTACCCCCCCCCCCCCCCCCCCCCCCCCTCTCACTGTGTACCAAAATAGAAACATTGTTGCAAGTTCCTGTTTCTAGAAAAATGACATTTTTGTAGATTATCCATCTTTCATATAATACTTGACCATTTGATCTCGTTTAAATCATGTTAGAAATGCTAAATATAGGAGAGTATGTTTCTTTATTTATGCAAGCATGTTTATGTGTTAATAACCTTGAAATTTTGTCTCATGTGATGTCACTTTCTTTAGCTTCTAAATCCTCCTTATAGTTTTGCATGTGGGTGTTTCATCTTTTTCTTTTTTCAGTCCTTTTAGTTCCTGTTTTACCTTTTCATACCTGTTTTCTACTGATGTAATGACTATTCATTGCAGGATGATCAAAATGTTGAAGGATTGAAAATTGCAACAGGACACGTGGCAGCAAATACTATAAGACTGTTAATTTCTGGGTGCCAAGCTGGCGGGTTGATTGGAGTATCCGGTCAAAACATTGGTCAACTAAGAAACTCCTCTGGTGCTACAGTTACTGTACTTGCTCAAAATCAGTTGCCATTATGTGCATCTGCTCATGAATCTGATCGAGTAGTTCAGGTAGTCACTACAAGACTCATTTTTGTAATATATTTTATGCGATTTTATTAAAATTGTTATTTATTTATTTTTTTTTGTTATTTTATTATGGAAAATGTAGATATCTGGAGATGTTCCTGCAGTGTTGAGGGCTTTGGTGGAGATTGGATGCCAGTTGAGGTTTGGGTTTATGAGGAATTCTTTTTTATCGAGTGGATTTGGATTTAGTTATAATTAATTAATTTTTATTTTAGGGATAATCCACCTAAGCAAATAATCTCCATTAGTCCAACTTATAATCTTGGCTTCACTCATCGGCCAACTCAGCAATATGTGGACCCGTCTTCAGGTTATATAATTGCATCCATTTCATTTCTAGTGGCTAACAAAACAATAAGCTGAATTTATTATTTACCTTTTCAGCTGAATATGTAACTCTGGAGATGATGATTTCTGAGACATTTATTGGTGGATTAATTGGGAGATGTGGTTCAAACATATCTCGGATCAGAACAGAGTCAGGAGCAACTATCAAGGTTTTGTTCCTGTTGTTTTTGTTACATGTTAATCGTTACTGAAAGGAGACAAAAAAATCAAATTTTTTTTTTTTTTTTTTTTTTTTTTAAATTTTGATTTATGTGATGTCTTGTGTCTTGTAGGTTCATGGTGGGAAAGGGGAAAACAAACATAGACAGATTCACTTGGGTGGTAGTGCTCAGCAGGTTGGTGATTCGTTTAAAAAAATTGCAACTCTTAGTTATCAAAGTAAATTAATTTGTAATAAAAATTTGATTGGAATGAGTTTAAGAAGTTGATGTGAAATAGGTTGCGTTGGCAAAGCAGAGAGTTGATGAGTACATATACACTCAGATGATGCAGGAAACTGGTGGTCAGCAGTCTATGTAAGTTTCTTGATTTGAAACATCTTGTATTCAAGAAATAGCAATGTACTTTCCATAAAAAAAATTATAAATTATATTCTTTGAAAATTTTGCTAGATTAGGTTTAAAAGTAGAATGTCCTAATAAGAATTAATTTTAAAAGTGATTTGTGTTGTGTTTACAGGGTTGATGAAACGACAGCATTGATGGCAGGTCCTATGTACTACCCACCAGTTGCAGCTCAAGGTTACTATGGTTTACCTAACCCGTATATGTAGTCATAAATAAATTTCATTGATTCTAGCAACTTACTTTTTAAACATGTTTTTTTCATGGGTATTCTGTATACATGATGAAGTTGCTATTGGAAATTGTAACATGTTACATGTATTTCAAAGTTTATTCTAAATGTAAAAGAGTAAAGCAAATTTCAATTGTTTTTTTTTAACAATTTTAAATTTGATTACTAAAATACTATAAAAATTAGTATTTTAGCTGATATTATTTATAGTATCGGCTGATAAACTTATGTATATGGGTTAATTACATGAGATGGCAATCAATTTTAACACTAATTATCGTTTTTTTTTTTAATAAATATTTTAGGTGTCTGATTTCTTAGATTGATCATTCAAATAACCTTTTTTTTTTTTTTTTCATTAATTTTGTTTAACAAAATTCTATTATCATAAACTTTCTGTAATCCTTGACAATTCCTAAAAGCATTTTCTTTAATTAATTAATTAATTTAGTATATCATTTTAATTTTGTTTTGTTAAATTTTCTCATCAAATTTGTCACTCTTAAACGTACATTATTTTTTAAGGAAAAAAATATATTACCTAACAATAACATCTAACGAAAAGAGTATGTTATAATACGGGCAAAAAAAAGATAACTATTTCAGGTCATTTTTTCTGAAGAAGATAATAGTCATACACTTAGTTATAAAGTAAAAAACATTAAAAATGTGATATAACCTTTACGAATCTAATTTCAGATATTATAGATTAAAATGAAATAAATTAATTAGTTAATAATAAGAAAGATTTGAAGCTTGAATATAATTAGATGAGTAAAATGAAAAATTATTGAACAAAAGAGGTTAAATGCATAAAACCAAAATAATCGTTAATAAAATCTATATCATAAAAAACCATTTTATGGGGTGAATCATAAATGCAATATTTTCAGGTTTTGAAAAAACTCTGATTGGAAAGGCTCTAAATCATGGGGCATTTGGTTCGGTGATTACAGGAGATTTCTTGGAATCGGAATTCAATTCCGATGGATGAATTCCCAGTTTGGTTACATAATCATATGAATTTGAATTCCATTATAATCCAAAAACTGTAAACTGACAGAAAACAAGAAACAACGAACTGGACAATTTTACACAGAAGCATATTTTCAAAATAACAAGATGCATATTTTCTTGTGAAATATGATGAGTAGGAGAGAAATGGAAACAAGAACAAAAAACATGATTTATTCTTAGACAATAAGCTTGGTTTATGATGATGATTGGCATTGTAAAAATCAAACAGTATTTACAGTATCACTAAGTGCACGAAGAATGCATCCAAGACCAGCTTTGTGTGTAAGCTTTTCATGAATCCGTAGGCATTGGTCACAGGTGGGCCGATCGCCGGTTGACAATCCTCTATACAGGTACCTGTTGAATTATACAAACACGAGCTCAGATTCAGAATCAAAGAGCATGAAATGAAAAACAGAGAATGGAGGAGATGAAGAAACCAGGTACTAACTTCATGAGAATATCGTAGTACTCGGGATCCAAAGAGGTGAACATTAAATCCACATCTTTTATCGCCATTAACGCTCTATGCACCACAATCCAATTTGCAGACTACATAAACAATTTAGAACTCAAATCGACGATAATCGGCTAATGAATGATTACAGATTACAAATTTCAGTTTTCTCTCATGGATTTTCGGTAGAACAAACCTTGCATCGTTCATCTCTCGTCTTGGGGGGAGATCCTTCCAGAGCAGTTTTGAGGGCTTCTACTGGCTTGTACCTAATCGATCACGATCAATCGACTATTAGGGCTTTGATAAATTGGGGAAAGTTGAAATTTGTTATGAAAATTAGGGTTGTAGTGCACTAACTGTTTGAGTAAACTCTCGATCTTGCGAGACTTGTGTTCGATCCTTGTGATGATGGCTTCTGCGTTGTCTGCTTCCACATGCTCCCCCATTTTTGCACAACCTTCCCTTTCTCTCTCGACTCAGACTTTGGCTTTTGCCAAATTTTTAGGTTCAAAATAAAAATGTTTTCTAAGTTCAGGGACCTGAAGTGAAATTGTTACCAAACACCCCTTTTGTTATTTGTTGTTTATTGGGCATTTGGGCTGGTATTAGTAATTAGTGTCCTGATATATTACAGAAATAACCTTTTGCATTAGTTTGTTCAATTGAAAATAACATTTTTACATTTTTCCTATTGTTTTTTTTGTCAAAATTAACCTTTTGTACATATAGGATTAATAAACTCAAACTGCAAGCATAAATTTAAAATTCTCATTAAAAGCAAAAACTAAGAAAAAATTGATTACAAAAATATGTTGGTGTCGGATAACCATCATCTCGGATACCATGATGGCATGATCTAATAATTTTTTTGACTAATCTTTTTTGGAATTACTATTAACTAGCGAAACATTTTATGGATTGATCATGGTATGCATGTCATCCATGGTCTAATTACAACAAAAAGGCATCATCATCATCTAGGAAACATAGTGGAAATTTCTATATATGCAATGCTTCAAAGTGTAAGCAGAATATGAATATATGCTTCCTGAGTCCATACGCTAACAAACATGTATCAACCACGACAATAATTTAAGAATATTCTCCCATGAAAAGAAAAGTTAAAGCGATAAATGAGCAAGTAAAGCCACATAAGGATTAACTTGAAGGCAAAAGATATGAGCATGGATTTTGTGAAACTACAGAGAAAGTAACCAAAGAATCATTAATAAAAAGACCATGGACAGAGGTGACTGAAAATGTGAAATTACAGAAAAAGAAATAAATTATGGGAAATCTTCTAACTCGCGTTCGTGTTCTTGTTACAGCAAGAAAAACACCATCGCCATCATCAGCACCAAGAAACAGCTCCTTATCTCAACGACAATCATCCTTTCTTAAAATGAAACGTTCTACTTCCATTTCTACAAAATCTAGAAAAAGTGACAAGAACAAGTATGCATACATCCCAGACAACTATTCTTCACTAGAACAGGTTCCTTCTCCTTAATTAATTATATCAGATTGTTTAATTTGGTCAACTATTAGGTTACTAATGTCCTCTTTTACAAAAACTCAGTAAATGTATATACAATGGCCATTGATTTCATTATGCAGGTTACAGACGCATTAAGAGCATCTGGATTAGAGTCTTCTAATCTTATCCTTGGAATAGATTTCACTAAGAGTAATGAATGGACAGGTTGTTAATACTCTCAATTTTATTTATAATGGGTCAAAGAGTAAAGTTAACTAAAAATAAGAGCCATAGATGTGAATGTGTATGATTATTTATGTAACCTAAAGCTAGATTTTTTTTTAATGATAGGTAGAGTTTCATTCAATAATCGCAGCCTTCATGCCATCACTGATTCTCCTAATCCCTACGAGAAGGCCATATCCATCATTGGAGAGACACTTGCTCCTTTTGATGATGACAACTTGATTCCTTGTTTTGGGTTT